GTGTCCCTTTCCGGGAACTCCTGTCCCACGTGTCCCATTGTGGGATCCCTCTGTCCCACATGTCCTAGCCCAGGATCCCCCTGTCCCACGTGTCCCTTTCCAGGGCCCTCCTGTCCCAGCTGGAGATCCCCCTGCCCAACATGTCCCAACCTGGAATCCCCTTGTCCCACATGTCCCACCTCGGGATGCCCCTGTCCCACATGTCCCATCCTGGGATGTCCCTGTCCCCTATATCTTCCCTGGGATCCCCTTGTCCCACATGTCTCATCTCGGGATCCCCCTGTCCCATGTCCCCTCCGGGATCCCCCTGTCCCACATGTCTCATCCTGGAATCCCCCCATCCCACGTGTCCCATCTTGGGATCCCCCTGTCTCCAATGTCCCCTCCGGGATCCCCTTGCCCCACATGTCCCCTCCGGGATCTCCTTGTCCTACATGTTCCCTCTGGGATCCCATGTCCCTTATGTCCCCTCCAGGATCTCACTGTCCTACATGTTCCCTCTGGGATCCCGCTGTCCCACATGTCCCATCCCAGGATCTCCCTGTCCCCAGTGTCTCCTCTGGAACGCCCCTGTCCCAAATGTCCCACCTCAGGATCCCCTTGTCCCCCATGTCCCCTCGGGATTCCCCTGTCCCTTATGTCCCCTCTGGGATCCCCTTGTCCCACATATCCCAGCCCAGGATCTCCCTGTCCCCAATGTCCCCCTTGGAATACCCCTGTCCCACATGTCCCACCTTGGGATCCCCCTGTCCCCCATGTCCCCTCCGGGATCTCTCTGTTTCCAATGTCCCCTCTAGGATCCCCTTGTCCCTTATGTCCCCTCTGGAATGCCCCTTTCCCACATGTCCCACCTCAGGATCCCCTTGTCCCACATGTCCCATTTTGGGATCCCCTTGTCCCACGTGCCCCATCCCAGGACCCCATGTCCCCTCTGGGATCCCCTTGTCCCACATGTCCCATCCTGGGATCTACTGTCCCACATGTCCCAACCTGGAACCCCCCATTCCCCATGTCCCCTCCAGGATCTCCCTCTCCCACATGTCCCCTCTGGATTCCCGTGTCCCGCATGTCCCCTCCAGGATCCCCTTGCCCTCCATGTTCCCTCCGGGATCCCCTTCTCCCACATATCCCCTCAGGATCCCCCTGTCCTTTATGTCCCCTCCGGGATTCCCTTGTCCCACATGTCCCATCTCAGGATCACCCTCTCCCACATGTCCCATCCAAGGACTCCCTGTCCCACATGTCCCCTCTGGAATGCCCCTGTCCCACATGTCCCATCCTGGGACCCCCTGTCTCCAATGTCCCCTCCAGGTTCCCCCTGTCCCACATGTCCCATCCCAGGATCCCCCTGTCCCCCATGTCCCCCTTGGAATACCCCTGTCCCAAATGTCCCATTTTGGGATCCCCCTGTCCCACATGT